ATAGCAACTTGAAATGCTCCCAAAAATGGCTCCACAGCATGTAAAAATATAATATAAGCTCTGGCGGACTTGGTTCTATGGTAGGTCTTAAAGGGTTAACAAACAAAAAAACTCATAAATAGTCTTGTATTACCAAGGTAGGCTGAGTATATCTGTTCTATCTCATAATTAACTCACAGATCTTATTTTGATATCAAGCTTTCTATACACCCCTTGGTAGTGAAGCAAATTAGAAAATTTCCCCAAAAGTTGTATAATTATTTAATCCCCAGCTTATTTGTGATAGCGTTCTTAAAACTGGCACAATATCTATAGAAAACTCCCAGTGTCCAATTTCCCTTGATGTTATATCAACATAGCCAAATAAATATGAGCCTGTGCATCTCTAGTCATGGCTGTGTTCCATTAGACCACCACTGGTGTGTAAAAAGTAATTAGATGTAATACTTAATGACTTAAAAGGAGAGCTTCCAGGCGGTAAAATTGCTTAAATATGGTTTTCTCTAACTTGGAAATTCAAATGCAGTACATACGGCCCCCACTGAAAATAGCATTTCCACAGTGTACTTCATGCTCTGTAGCTGTGGAAGGCTGCATATGCATTAAAATTTAATTTGTCTCCTTTCTTGCAGTTTGAACTGAATTTTACCCCATCCACACTTCATCTCAGCACATTTTCCAGGCTTAGAATGGGCTTTATAAGGATTGGTGGAAAACACTTGTAAACATAAATACATTTCATTTTCTATACCTCTATACTTACACATATGTCTGAATTTTGCATGACAGGAAATGTTCTGGGGTGAATACTGAATAGGTTCATTTAAGTTCAGTTCACAATCACAACACAGCCTCCTCAAGGTGATGTGTTTTATGCAGAATTTACAATTAATATAATATAGCAGTTAGCATTAATATAATATATTATTATATAATTATATTATTATATATTATTGTTGCACCAAATGATTCAAATCTGATATAATGTTTACTGAAGGCAGCACGTGGCAGGCCTGCGTTAAAACATTCACTTAAAATTGCTGTTTTAATTCTTGCCTTGTGTGTTTAGCTGCCTCGGCACCCTTGCTAGAATATAGCTGCCCGATACTAATGGGAAGCAATTCTCTGCCCAAAGGAATAAATCATATCTCTGTCTTTGCAGGCGAGGGCCTGGGTCATTTGTTGGAATGCACGGCCTACAAATGATACACTAACGGAAAAAAAAATGCAATTAGGCAATTTAATAAAGAAGACTAACGAAGCATCTTGTCTGCTCGCCCTGTGCTTGGTCCAGGGAATATGGCCCAGACCCTGCACAATTATGCTGCTTGGGAAGTTCTCCACCAGCTCTCATAGTGCTTGGGAAAGAACCTCATTATCCCTCTGTGGTCGGTTTCTCCTTGTCCTTCACACTGAGTTTAGCGTAAAGTCCTCCACGTCCAGTCATGTTGGTTTGTTTGCTTTATACCTCCCCACCTGGCTAAATAATTTGTTTAAAAATTGGGATATCTCTGTGCTCCACAGTACGACTCAGGGTTAGAAATACTCTTTCGCTGATTGGGGGAAATGGCAATAACAACCCTTTAACTATAAAGGAACGCTAAAGCAACAGAGTTGCATGTCAGTCCGTCCCTGCCAGTTTTAGATGGGGAGGTTAGGCAGAGTCCATAAAGTTGCAGATGAGCTCTTGGCATCCCACCTGGCCTTTGACACTTGGTCCACTGACAGGCATTTTGTGCCCTTATAATGCACGTCCGTGAGCATACTGTGAGACGTGCTCTGTCAGTAGAAAAACACACACACAAGCACCCAAATTGCCTCCATTGCAATTAAGCAGCAATCCTCCAATTAGACAAGGGAAGCTGGCAGATTGTGACCTCT